CAAAATATTCACTGTGTCCACTTTCTCACTGTCCATTCACCTTTCAACTTGCACCAATCTAGTCTCCTTAATCTTGCTAGTGAAACTGCTCACCAAGATCACCAATGACACATTACGAAACCCAAATCCTCATTCACCTATCCAAATTCTCTGACACAGCCAGTTACTCTCCTGCAAACACTGACCTCTTTTGGTTCTTGTGACACCACTCCCTCCTGGAGTTCCTCCCATCTCTCCAATTTTCCTTCAAAGTTTACTTTGTTGGCCTTCCTTCCACTAACCAAACTCCAGGCTCAATCCTAGGTTCCTTTTCTTCACATTATCAAAGACTCATGATGCTTTTATGTGCCATGGATATTTCTGGCATCTATTAATGCCTATGGAATCCTCCTCAAAATATTTTTTAAATATATAATATAAAATCAAATGATTTGTGCTTCTTTGGTTTTTTTTTTTTTTTTTAATACAAGCACTGGGTACAGTCAGAAGCACGGGAGGGTGAGAGAATTCACCAGAGTCAGAGCAGGGAGCATAGCAGGCAGAAGGACCGAAGTACACTACTGAGGGGAGCAGTGGGCGGCAGGAGAGGTTTGTGTGCCATGTGGGACCCTCCTCCGGAGGCCCGGGAGCAGCCGGGGATCGAACCGGCGCTACAGAGGCTGCGGGCAGCTTCGCAACCCAGCGCTCAACCGCTGCGCCACCGGGGAGGCCCTGTGCTTCTTTGTTAATACACTTGCTAATGAATTAAAAAATGGGAGCTGGGCCTCCGTGGTGGCGCAAGGGGTTAAGACGCAACCTGTAAAGCTATCCGCAGCCACTGCAGCACGAGTTTGATTCAGACCAGGGAGCAACCCACATGGCGCAGCAGACCTCTCCTGACTCACCCAGTGCTCCCCTCAGCAGTGTACTTCAGTCGATCTGCCTGTTCTGTTCCCCACTCTGTCTCTGGTGACTACTCTCACCTCCTACTCCTCTAGCCTGTACTTTGGTCCTTGTATGCATAAATAAATAAATCTTTTTTAAAAATGGGAGCTAATCATGGAATTAATAACTTGACTAATTTTCATAATATGATATGAAAAAAATCTTCATCTCTACAAGCGACAAAGTTACAATATTATATTGCTAATACTGCTGTCTGAGACTTACATTCAAAATGGAGGAAACAGGTACTTTCTGTTGGAGGTTATTATAAATAAGAAAAGTTTTTCCCAACCAAGCTCATGGACCTTGAATTTTATCAATAAATTCTTGAGGCTTCCTGAATCCTAGGTTAAGAGCCTCTGCACTAGAAGGCAGCAGTGGTTCTCAAGGCTTCAGGACCATCTGTATGCTGAGGACTCCTGGGTCTGTGTTTCCAACCCAGACCTTTTCTCTGAGTTCAGACAGGTACATCCAACCTCCTATTGGATCTCTACTTAAATAAATCACAGGCACCTCAAATCTAGCATGTCAAAAAATTCCAAACTTGAAGCCTTGAATCATCCCCCTATTTAATCCCTTTTCAATACCATTCTTCCCACTCAGTAAATGGACCAGTGCATCCTAAGTTATATTAGGCAGAAACCTAAGGTGAACCTTTATACCATATTCTTTCCCATTCTATATCTGTTGAGTCTTGTAGACTTTACCTCCAAAATACCACATCCATCTGCTTCTTTCTAGGCTGCCATAGTCTTTCAAGACACCAGCCGCCCTCCTGGACTGTTTAAGTTTCCTAATTAATCCCCTGCCTTTTCTTAAGACTCCCTCTACCATTTACCACACAGTAGCCAAAATTTGTATTTTTAAACGATAAGAGTAGGTCAAAACCTGACTTAAAACTAGCATTTTATCTACTGCTCTCAAGCTTTCATGATAAAATGTAAGCTTCATGACTTGGTCCCTCTGCCTTTCTGACCTCATCTGCAGTCATTCTCCCTCCTCTCTTGTTACACTCTAAACCCAATGATCTTCCTCCATCAGAACACAGGAGGGTCTTTCCTAGTTAAAAGTTTCTGAGCGTAATTAAATCTGTTTTTTTTTTTTTTTTAAGGTTTGTTTTTTTAATCATATAAGAATGGGGCTACAGGCCAGAGGTGTGTGTGTGAGAGGATTCTCCAGAAACAGAGTGGGGAGCAGAACAGGCAGACTGACTGAAATACACTGCTGAGGGGAGCAGCAGGCGAGGCAGGAGAGGTCTGATGCGCCATGTGGGTGTCTCCCTGGCCGGGGATCAAACTCGTGCTGCAGTGGCTGCGGATTGCTTCATAGGTTGTGTCTTAACCCCTTGCACCACCAGGGAGGCCCTAATTACATCAGTTTTAAATGCTCAGCCCTATGCTCTTGAAATGACCAACTCTATTTGTATCATTCGAATCTCAGTTTAAATCTTATCTTCTCAAGCAGACCTTTCCTGACCACTCCATTTATTAGATACCCTTCGTTATTCTCTGTCACAGCACTCTCTTTGGTCCTTTCATAGTGTTTTTCTCATTTTGTGACTTTATCTTTATTTTCTAACCTATTTATTTATCTTCTCCCAAAACTAGAAAGATGTATCATTAAGGCAGGAGCCATTTTACTCCCTATGGATCCAAGACCTAGAGCAGGGTCAAGCAGATAGTAGGTATACACAAAGTACATTTGGTGAATGAATACTGTCCTTGCCCTCACAGCACTTTCTATGTTGGACAGGACCTAGAAGACCCTTCAGAAGTTCCCTGGTAGAATAATTCCATGATTCTACTTACCTTTGTCAACCATGAGTCCCCAAAGGAAATGTGCCCCTGGGTCTCATTCTAGGAGAATGAACCACAAGATTACTACAAATAATACTACTATTTCTACCAGAAGCAGATTATCTGAAGAGAATAGCCAAAGAAACATTTCAGGACAATAAATAGTCTGCCTCCTGTGCCTGGTAATAAACCTAACAGCAAAAGGGTGAAAAGGTATTTATAATTCTAAAAAACGATCAACACTAAGGCCATATGACTGTATGATGGCATGGAAGGACTTGCAAGATCCTTCCAGGAACAACTACTATTTCTAAACTTAAACAAACAAAACAACCTAACAGTTCCTTTTCTCCACCCTCTAGTCATAACGTAAATCCTAGACAGTCCATGCTTACAACTACTTTCCTTATAGCACTGGTGCTCAACCAGGTACAATTCTACCCTCAGAGAACATTAGATAACATCAGAGACATTTTTGGTTGTCCCAACCGAAGAAGATGTTCCTGGCATCTACTGGGTAGAGAAAAGGATGCTGCAAAACATCCTACAATGTGCTCCCGCTGCTCCCCTCAGCAGTGTGCTTCAGTCACTCTGCCTGCTCTGTTCACCACTGTCTCTGGTGAATCCTCTCACCCCCGCATCTCTGGCTTGTACTCCAGCTCTTGTATGCATAAATAAATAAATAAATCTTAAAAAAGGGGGGGGCCCTCTCTGGTGGCACAACGGGTGAAGTACCACACTATGAAGCAATCCGCAGCCTCTGCAGCACGAGTTCAATCCCCGGCCAGCCAGGGAGCAACCCAGATGGTGCAGCGGACCTCTCCTGACTTGCCCGCTGCTCCTCTCCGCAGTATGCTTCAGTCAGTCTGCCTGTTCTGTTCTCCACTGTCTCTGGTGAATCCTCTCACCTCCCGCATCTCTGGCCTGTACCCCAGCTCTTTTATGCATAAATAAATAAATAAATCATTTTTTTTTAAAAAAAAGTTCTACAATGCACAGGACAGTGTCCACAACAAAGAATTATCCCAAAATGTCAATGACACCAAGGCTGATAAATCCTGCTTCAGAGTAGCTTATGATCAAAAATGTAATGTTATAAAACTGATATGCATAAATCATCTCTGAAAGGACATATAACAGTCACTGTCCTTGGGAAGGGAAACTGAGAGCTTGGGGGAAAAGAAGAATGGTAGGAGATTTAGTTTTTAAATATGTATATCCTTTGGTGCCTTCTGAGTTCTGTACCAAGTGTTACCTCAAAAAACAATAAAAATAGTCAGTATAATTCAAGACTATTATCTCAAAAGACTATTTTTAACTTATAGAACATTACCAAATGGAAAGCAAAAACAATGGGACCTATCATATAGAATGAATCCTGAATTAAGAATTAGAAAATCTGGTGTTGTCACTCCACACTGTGGAACAAAGCATATGACTAAACCCTGAGCTTGTTCCCCATATGCAGGGTGGGATGATGGTATGCCCTATTCAACGCACACGAAACTGTGAAGAGCCAATGACACAATGCAGGGAAAATACCTTACAAACTATTAAGAGACACAAAATTCACTGAAATTATTTTTCCTACTAAAAGGCCCTGGTATTATGAAAGAAAAAGACTAGAAGTTATAGACTAGAGCCCCCTTAAGATTATCCTCTTGCTAAATCATTTCCTTACTCATCATTTTACTGTCACTGGGGCATTAGAAGTTGTTTCTGGTTAACTGAGTTGAAATCTTCTACCCTAAAATGCCAAGCAACTCAAAGGAAAACTTTCATTATGATGAGCCACAGAAAATGTGGGAGGTTAATACTTATTTGATGATTTCCTGATGATGGTAAAGGTTAAGAAGAAAAAGCTTTTCTCTGAATCACTCAATTTGCTACAAGGTAAGTAGAGGTGAGGACTATTGGCTCTGCTAAACCTCAACAATAATCTTATGATTGGCTGCCATAACAGAGAGAAGACAGGAAAAACATTCACCAATACAAAACAGTTTAACCACCAATTCTTTTATATAACAGCTGGGCCATGTGGGCACAGGCCAAAGAGCTAGGTCTCTTACTCATGAAATTACTGAGTCATGAGAATAACACTTTTAGTACTCATGCTTTGAGTGGCAAGGACAGTCAATATGTAGGAACTGGGAACAAAAATGATTAATGCTAATGATGTAAAGTTCTCTAAGCAATTCTGCGCAAAGAAAATGAGCACAAGAGCAGAATGAGTGAGGCATCAGTCACAGGAAAAGAAAAAGGCAAGTGGAGGTGTCTTACGTGATATACTTGTTATAGAGGATGAAGGCATGTTCAATGTTGCCTTCCTCGGAGTAAATGGATGCCATGCGGATGATCTCCATCCCAGAGCGGAAGTACCGACGGGGTGGAATATCTTCGTTTACCTCCACCGCACTACCCATGAGGGAGAGAGCCCTCACCCGGTCTTCGGGTGGGAGGCTCACATCTCCATGGTCAGTCATCAGGTCCAAAAGTTCTGAGACAGGAAAAAGAAAAAAGATGGCATCAACACCATGCCATAACCCCAGCACATACACGAAAGTTGAGACCCTTAAAGAAGTCCACATCACAACGATGAAAGAATTGGCACTCAAAAACCCATAATCCTTTTACCATAATTAGGTGGTACAAGGAATTTTTACCCTTCATGCCAACCATCCCCTATCATTAGGTGTCCCTGCCCTGAGCACTATAGAGGGAGGAACTGCATTTTATGTTTTTATATCATGACTCCTCCTGGCAACCTCTTCCATCTACCCTATACCTGCGGAGAATACTGGATGAACTTCGTGACTCTTAGCAGATCAAACTCTTCAGGTTTGATAATTTTTATTTAATTTAACAATAACTGATGTTTTTCTGTGTTGTACTCTTTCATATTTGAGCACAAAGTTAGTTAGGGGAACTAACTTTGATCCAGGACTGACAGCTCATAATCCTAATTTTGCTCTAAAACACCAGTCAATCTACATCATCTCATGACAAGGAATTTAGATCTTGAAAACAAGTTACTCAAAATTTTATCTTCCAGACTAAGCACTCTTTGAACAAAAGGGGTCAAAGACAACTTGGAATGCAAAAAAAATTAATACTACAATCTTAACAGATAGTCACTGTTAGAATCTGATTCGAACTTTCAGTCAAGTATCACTCTACATCATCTCAAAAAAGAATTGGGTATTCGAAACACAACCTAACCAGTATCTTAAGAATACACAATTTAGGAATTCATTCCAGGCCTGTATCAACTGATCCCAGTTTGTCTTTTTAAAAAAAAATTTTTTTTATGTAATTCTTACATCATTTTTCATTTTTGAATGTATGCCCTCATACATGTAGAGTGACTGAAGCACACTGCTGAGGGGAGCAGCGGGAGCACATTGTAGGATGTTTTGCAGCATCCTTTTCTCTACCCAGTAGATGCCAGGAACATCTTCTTCGGTTGGGACAACCAAAAATGTCTCTGATGTTATCTAATGTTCTCTGAGGGTAGAATTGTCTACCCTCAGACAATGTATGCATTTTCATTTTGGTTATATTCCCCATACAATTGCACCCCCCCTTATTTTGACCCTAATCCTTCCTCTCCCCGACCACCCCCCCCCACCATTTTGTCATTTCAATCTTAAACCTTACTCATTCCCAACAGAGATCTTTTACTTCAGTCAGTATTTTGTTCTGCCCAGAAATTCCCACATTTCCATTTCACTTGTGTTTTTCTGCTTTCCACTCCATCCCTCCCTTGAATACAGTCTTCTCTTGGCCAATACTCTCTCCCGGTCAGTTTCTCCAGTTTCCTCTCTAAAATAATACAAAAGCTGTGAGGACTACCACGGACGCAGAGGTATCCATTCCATCTCCCAAAAGCCTTTTAGGGGGCTCAGAAAGCAAGGAGCAAAATTAAACCTCCCTAAGTATTGCCTAATTGGTAACTCAGTCAGAGCCCATGAAAGCTAACTGAAGCAGAGGATGCTTATTGCACGTCAGCACCTCTCCCGGACTTTCCAGAAGGTCTTTGGGGTCAAGAATGGTACCCCACCCGTGGCCAGCAAGCGGTGCCCGGGACTACAGGGTTAACCAACACTCCAAGGAAGAGATGCAGAGCCCACAAACAACGGGGGAAAGTGGCATAAAGACTGAGGGGAGACCAGGAGACGAAAGGAAGCAGCAGGAACAAGCTGAGGGATATATACAGTGGAAGGAACTTTGTGACAACTGCTCGATGCCCCTTTCTTTAAGGCACTCTAGCCAAATACGTAACAGCGAAATCATTCAGGGTTTTCGGGTCTTTCCAGTGAGGTAGGCGGGGAAGCGCCGGGCCCAGCTGAGGGCCGGAGCCGTCTGGGCCTCACGCGGCGGGCCGAGCAGGGGCGCGGGGGAGGAAGGGCTGCAGGCACACTCACGGCGGCCGCTTCCCTCAGAGTCCGGCCAAGCTCAGCGCCCCCGCCGCCCACCACTTTCCCGGGACCCTACCCCACCTTTTCCCGCGGACGACTCTCGAAGCTTCCGGAAACGTCACATCCGACGCCCGCCCCGCCCTCTCTCGGAGTCTGTCACTTACAGTCCCATGAATTCAAGATACTGGCTAGGGAGCTGGTGGGCGGGGCTAACACCAGCACCTGCGGAAAAACCGACCAATGAGGAGAGAGCTTGACGGCGGACATCTTGGTAAGGGAAAATCAGCCGGAAAGGAGGAATCAAGTGGTTAAAGGAACCTATGACCCAGCTAACTTGTTTTTAGGTGTGGTTTTTGTTTTTGTTTTGAGGCGGGGGCGTTTGCGAAGGGCCGTAGGGAGTCCTGTCAGGTAGCCTCTCCATCACACTCACACAAACCCGGCATTTCAAGGAGGAATTGCTAGCTAGGTTCTACATCAGAAGAAGGGAAACTGCGTTTTTCAGCTTGTTACTTTTTACAAAACAAACAACTTCCTGTCGCACTTGGAATAAAAATCCAAAATTCAGTTTGCAGAATAAACCCACCTCTGCTGCCTCTCTGACCTCACCTCCCATTTTCTCCTCCTTGTTAATGACTCTGCAGTCATACTGTCTGAATATCAGATGCTCCACTCAAGACCTTGCACAGCTGTTTCCAATTTCTGGGATGCTTTTATCCAGATCTTCACTTGACTAATTCTATCCTTTCATTCTTGTCTTAGTTCGTGTGTCACCTTCCTAGAGAACCTCTCTGACATATTCATATTCTAAGTAGTCACCCATTCCCACTTGGTCCTATTTTAATTCTTTTTATATTTATCACTACTATCTGCCATGGTCTGGGCTGTTTATTATCTTTCATTCTTCAATAGAATATATTCTTCAGGAAAACTGGAGCTATTTCTAACTTACTCACGGCTTTATCCCCAGCACCTAGAACAACTTGGGACTCCAGACAACCCTCAATAAATGTTAGATGATGCCGGTCTCACTCTCTCCCAAATGAGTTATATGAATTGGTATCTGATTACAGTTATAAGTAAGAAGATAAGAAAACACACACACACACACACACCCCAGTGGCCATTATGCTCTTAGGTCAAGTCTTCTTAGAAGGCATTTGGAAACAGCAGCAGAAAACCTCCAAGCCTAGATGCCTGCATTATTTGAGCAGTTATTGAGTTCCTATCATGCTCATGGCTCTATGTCAGGTGATGGATCTGCTATAATGAAGAAAACTCAATTCCTCTGTGTAAGCTATGATGGATGAGGATTTAGAGCCATCAGAAGGGAAAAAAAGTCTTTCAAAGATGAGTGCATTTCCTCAGGGAGATGTTAGTTGAGCTCCATATATTGGGACACTAAAACAGATTATCTTAAAAGTATCTTGGGATTGGGAGTAATCTGAAAGCAGAAATGCACTGTGTACTAAAGATAAATTATTCATGTTACTAAAATCTTACCTGTGAGGGGCCTCCCTGATGGCACAGGCGGTTGAGTACAGCTCTGTGAAGCTGTCTGCAGCCTCTGTAGTGCTGGTTTGAGCCCTGCCAGCCGCGGAGATACCCACATGGTGGGGCAGACCTCTCCTGTCTCTCCCACTGCTCCCCTCAGCAGTGCATTTCGGTCGGTCTGCCTGTTCTGTTCCCCGCTCTGTCTCAGTCTCACCCTCCTGCATATCTGGCCTGTACCCCAGTTCTTGTATAAAAATAAATAAATCTTTAAAAATAAAATCTTACCTGTGACCCCATTGAAAAGTAAATACTTGAAAAAGAAGGAAAAGACTGATAAATTGTAAAAAAAGAACATTGCAGCTAGTGCACTTTAAGCTTTTACATTTGCATATTATGAATACATACAAATTAAGTTCCTTTTCTGTCAGAGTTGGAATTACATGATGGAGAAGTTATTCCTTAAGAAGTTTATAGTAAAACTGGTGACATTAAGATGAATGTGAGGTTTAGGGCTCCATCTATAGTTTGTTTGAAAACTGGTATCTCCTACCACCAAGAAAAATCACTAGTTGGGAAAATAAGTCCTTTATGCGTTTTTGGAAAGGTCTTTAATGTATGTGAATTGTTACAGTTGAGGGTTAAATGTGTACATAAGCAGTCCATTTTATTTTAGACATGTTTTCTTTCTTTTTTTAAAGATTTATTTATTTATTTATACAAGCACTGGGTACAGTCAGAAGCGTGGGAGGGTGAGAGAACTCACCAGAGCTAGAGCGGGGAGCAGAACAGGCAGACATACACCGCTGAGGGGAGCAGAGGGCGCGGCAGGAGAGGTCTGCAAGCCATGTGGGACCCTCACCCCTCGCCGGTGGCTGGGGACAGAACCAGCGCTGCAGAGGCTGCGGGCAGCTTCGCAGCCCAGCGCTCAACCGCTGTGCCACCAGGGAGGCCCTAGACTTGTTTTCTTTCTTGGCTATCTGTCAGCTATAAGTGATATAATTTATTTCCTAATAATTCAAAGCCTCTTACAAAAGTAAGAGTATCATTTTCAATGTTGTCATTTTCAACAAGAATTAAATGCGATTAGACACTTCAGGACTATTTGAGGGATTTTATCATTTTACATTTGGCTTATATATTTCTTTGCAAAAATATTGGCATATGACTGTGAGTCATAGCTTCTAGGGTCAGAACAGAATAGGAAAGCCTTGGAGGAATAAGGAAGGCTCCAGAGATAAGGGCAACAAATTTCAAAGGGGATTAATTAAACACCCTCCCCAGGAGCAACAGAACATTTCCAGACAGGGATGAGAAAAAAAAAGGACTCTAAGATAAGAGCTGAGATGCAAGATGTAATTCTGGGTAAGACAGAGTGAGAACACTAAGAATTAACCAATCACAAAGAGACTGAGGGGGCTTGAGAATAATCAGGGAGAGAATGTGTATATTCCCTGGGGCATGACTCCACATCTGCTTCCTTGTCCCTCCCTTGCCTGGTTCCACAGGTCTGGGAATGCCACTTTATTTCTGTTCCTGTTCTCCTTAATAAACCTTTCCTTATATATATTTCTCTAAACAAATTTGCCTC